TCAAATAGAAAGTCCTCTGTTTGGCATTCAAAGCCCTTCATCACCTTCCCCCCGCACTCCTACCTTCCCAGTGTTCTTATATTTTACAGTCCCCAAGCTCCAAGCCAATGGTTCCTCAAATAAGTTACTCCATGTCTTGTCTCCAGACATTTTACCTGGCAGTCGCCTCTACCCGGAATGCTCTCCATCTTCATCTATGCCTTATGGCCTTCCTGGATTCCTTTAAGGCCCAGCTAAAATCTCACCTTCTACAAGAAGCCTTTCATCATCCCTCTCAATTCCAGCACCTTCTCTCTATTGATTATCTCAAATTTATCCTGTCTATAACTTGTGCGTAATTTAGTTTACCTTCATAATATCATCTACATATCAACTCTCTGATTAGACTGAGAGCTCCTTGGGAGCTTTTACCTTGTCTTTTACCTTTCTTTGTATCCTTAGTGCTTAGCACAGTTCCTGGCATATAGTAGGCACATAATAAATGTTTATAGACTGGCTTATTGATTCATTTCATATATCCAATCTCTTGCCAAGCCTCGTCATTTCTACTTTCATGACATCACTCACATACATCCCCTTGTGTTCACTCACACAACCACCACATTGATAGAAGTCCTTATCACCTTATGCCTAGATTATTGAAATAGGTTTCTGATTGGTCTTCCTGCCTCAAGTCTCTCCTCACTTCTGTCCATCATCTACTTCCTGTGAAAGTGATCTTCCTAATGTTAATCTAATCATGTCATGGACCTAGTCAATAAACTCCAATGGGTTCTTATTACCTCTATGATAAAATATAAAGTTTAGCATTTAAAGCTGCTCATAACCTTGCCACTTCCTGCCTTTCCAGCCTTCTTACACTTTACTTTCCTCCAGATATTCTATGTTCCAACACTGGCCCAAATGATGCTCCTCACACATGACTCTCAGGCATAATTTCTCAGGCTCTAGTCATTTTCACTGGCTGTCACCCCTGCCTCAAATATACCCTCTCCTCACTTCCATCTCTTATTTTCCAGGACTTTCTTCAAGATGGCTTAAACCGGGGCAGCTAGGTGGCACAGCAGATAGAGCACCAGCCCTGAAGTCAGGAGGACCTGAGTTTAAATCTGGCCTCAGACCAAACACTTCTAGCTGTGTGACCCTGAGCAAGTCACTTAACCCCAATTGCCAAAAAAAAAAAGAGAAAGCTTAAATCCTACCTTCTATAAAAGACCTTTGCAGGTCCCCCCCACAATTGCTAGTGCTTTCCCTCTAAGATTTCTTTCTATATATTTGGTATGTATGGAGTTGTTTGCATGTTTTCACACACCCCCACCCTATTAGACTGTGAACTCCTCAAGAGCAAGGACTATATTTTGCCTTTCTTTTTTTCCCAGAGTGTAACACAGTGCCTATTATTGGTGTTTAATAAATTCTTGTTGACCAACTGACCGACTGACATAGGGTGTAAGGGCTTCTTCCTCACTGTAAACTTCAAATCTCTCCGCCTCTACAGAGGCAGTTGTCACAGGAAATGTAAATTAGATACTACTTTCTATTCATGGCACAATTTCAAAATAGGAGCTTGTCTGAGGGTTCAGGCCAGGGCTCTGGCTGAGGCTCAGGATCATGACGCGTCTACTGCCATGGCTCATAGTCATCCTCTATTTACAAATAGGTAAGTGTTAACTGGGATATTTTTGGAGGCTGAACTCTCTACGTGGAATGGGGAAGCTCCCCACAATGGTTTTGCAGAGGCAGTCTGTCCTGTCCTGATCACTGGAGTGGTTCCACGTCAAGGAGCTATGATCCTTACTTGGTGCTGTCTCCTCTCAGCCTCGGCTGTAAGAGAAGATCACTGAAATGGAATCAAGTTAGTTATTTTAATTGTACTTGCATTTCTGAGAAAAGGGGGAAGCTGGAATCAATGGGACCCAAAGTCCTATGAGGAGCAGCTGCTTAGGGAGAATGAATCTGGTTGTCTCTGAACAGGATATGCTAGGTAAGCCCTGAGACTTAGAAATTCTAGCTCTAGAAGCAAAGTTGTTGGGGAAAGCCTCCATCAAGTTCATTAATTGCAAATGTAGCAGATTTCTTACTTCAGCAACTTGTGATTTCCTTTGACTTCTCCCAACATAGAATAAAACCTCTCTGTTCTTTCAGTTTTGTCTTTGTATTCCCCTTTCCTGACACATAGAAGGTATTTCATAGAAGCTTGTTGACTGATATGACTTAATAGCTTCTTCAGAAGTTGTTGAGGCCCAAAATTAATCATCCTGTATCTAACCTAATGCCGAGCTCCTCCAAACTTATCTAGTCTGGTCCTTAAGTGACAAAAACTTACTCTGTCACGAAACTGTTTCAGATCTCCAGCTACCTCATTAAGGCAATGCCAAGAGTTTGGGGAATATAGGGGAACTAGGTAGCATAGTTGGTACTGGTCACTGGACCTACGGTGAAAAAGGCCTAAGTTCAAATTCAGCTTTGGCCATTTCCTAGCCATGTAATCCTTGGACAAGTCACTTAACCTCTGTCTGACTCAGTTTCCTCAACTGTAAAACGAGGACAATAATAACACCTACTTCCCAGTATTGTGAGAATCAACTGAGATATTTGTAAGGTGCTTTGTGAACCTAAAAGTACTATTAAAAAAAGTATGAAGAGAGGATACCAGGTGACCTGCGACAGCTCCCTCACTTTGGTTTTTAGCTAATTTTCGCCTATTTTTTTCATTTTGTCTGGTAGACCAAAGCTACATAAGTGACTGATGTTCAGCTATCCACCCACTACCATTCCTGTCATAAATAGTTGGTCTCCTGGGACCTCTTCAGCTTGTACAGTTTGGAGGGGCTGATTTTTGTTGTTTAGTTGTTCAGTCATGTCTGACTCTTTGTAAGCCCACAGACCATACTGGGCATAGAGTTTTCTTGGCAAAGATACTAGAGTGGTTTGCCATTTCATCTCCAGTGTATTAAAGCAAAAAGAGGTTAAATGATTTGCCAGGATCATACTACAGTTAGTGTCTGAGGCTGGATTTGAACACAGGTCTTCCTGAATCCAGGTGCAGCCCTCAATCCACTGAACCATCTAGCTGCTTGGATAGTTTCTATTAATTAATCAATAAACATTCATTTTGCTCCTACTATGTTCCAGGACCTCTGAGAGGCCCTGGGAATGCAAACACAAAACAGAGACAATACTTGCACTCAGGGAGTTTACTAGAGGAAAACAAGATGTTCACCAATAAATAAATACATGGCAGCTAGGTTACATAGTGGATAAAGGGCTTCACCTGAAGTCTATATAAATGATAGCTATTATATCCTCCAAAATATAAGAAGTAAATGAAGGAGGGGATACGAACAACTTGGGAGGATGAGGAGGATCTCATGTAAGAAAGAGGTGACACTGGAGCTGAGCTTTGAAGAGAGTTAGAAGTTCCAAGAATCAGGCATAAAATACCTGAAATGTCCATCAGGGACAGACCATGTAATGTCACAGAAATGGGAGATTGAATATCATTTGAGGGGAACAACAAACAGGCCATTTTGGCGAGAATATAGAATATATCAATGTTTTAGAAATAGCAGTTTGGAAACTCTATAGAAGACAGATTAGAGAAAGAATAAGACTGGCTGTAGGCAGACCAAATGAAAGGTTATTGCAATGGTCTGCAATAGTCTTCACAGAACAAATCCCCTTAATAAAAGGATTTGTTCTGTAAAACTTGGATTCAGTCAAAAGGCTACATCCAAGGACCTAGAAGGCCACATATAGCCTTGAGGCCACAGGTTCCTCAGCCCTGGAACTCTAGACAAGGGGCAATGGGGGCTGTGACTAGGGTGGTGGTGATGTGAGTAGAAAGAAGGGGAAGAATACAAGATGTACTGAGGTGGTGGAACTGACTTAGCACCTGATTGGATATAGGGTGAGGGTATATGGTGGTGAGGGAGAGTAAAGAAGCCAGGATCAAACAACCAAGAAGTAATTAAGTGTTGAATATGTAAAACTTAAATACTTAGTCCTTAAATTAAGCTTAATATACCTAGTACTCAGTGACAGGCGCTGAGTAAAGAAAGGATGACCTGTAGGTTGCAACTTGGGCAACTGGAAGAGCAATGGAACTTTCAGTTGAAATTGGGAAGTTGTAAAGTGGGAGGAGTGGTGAAAGGAAGGATAATGAATTCTATTTGGGGACAGTGAAGTCAAGGTGCACATGGGACATCAAGCAGGCAGCTGGTGGTCCTCACCTGGAAATCAGAAGAGAGATGAGGGCTGTGTATGTAGACATGGGAGTCATTTGAACAGAGAAAATAATTGAGTGTGTTAGAGTTGTAGATATTGTGAAGAGAAAGAAAGGAATGTATAAAGAGAAAAGGAGAGTTCCCAGTACAGAACCCTCCTCATAGAGATCAGATACTAATAACCTACTCATAGAGAACAGATACTAATAACAAGCCTAAGGAGGAGACAGAAAAGGATTGATGCTACAAAGTAGCATTGTGAAAACCCAGTGAGGGACAAATATCTAGAAGAAGGTGCTGGCTAATCAAAAGTAACAAATGCCAAAAAGAAATCAAAAAAGGCAAGGACTGAGAAAAGTTCACTGGATTTAGCAAAAAGGGATCATTGGTGATCTTTTGGAGAGCACTTCCATTGACTAATAAAAACAAAAGATAAAATACAGGAGTTGAGAAGTTACTGGAAGTTGAGAAAATGGAATCAACACAATGTATTAGGGGTTCTTGGCCTGTGGACTAGTTTTTTAAACATGTTTTAATAGTTGTATTTCAACATAATTGGTTCTATATATTTTATTTTATGTATTTAAAAGATTTTTTTCTGGGAAGGAATATACGGGCTCCACCTGACTGCCTTAGGAGTTCATCTCTCTCTCTCTCTCTCTCTCTCTCTCTCTCTCTCTCTCTCTCTCTCTCACACACACACACACACACACACACACACACAGGCACACACATCATTAAGAACCTTTGGTAGAGAGTTTTTTCTAGGAGTTTGCCTGTGAAAGGCAGAACAATAGCTTGAGGAGATGTTTGGGTGGAGTTTAAGGATGGGGAATTCTATGCATGTTTGAAAGCATGAGGGAAGGAACCAGTGAATAAAGAAGTTGAAATTTAGGGAGCAAGAAGGGATGGTCAAAGGTATAAGCTGGGGGCAGCTAGGTGGTGCAGTGGATGGAGTACCCACCCTGGAGTCAGGAGGACCTAAATTCAAATCCGGCCTCAGACACATGACACTTCCTAGCTGCGTGACTTTGGGCAAGTCCCTTAACCCCGATTGCCTCACCAAAACAAAAACAAAAACAAAAAAACAAAACAAAGGTATAAGCTGCTAAGGGAGATGGCAGGTGATGAAATCAAGGGCACAAGTAAAGTGTTTGATATCAGCAAGAACTTCTGTAGTTGTGGTTTGTCCTTTGTTCTCGAAAAGGACCCTCAAAAAAGGACGGTGACATCAGAAAGACGATGCCATGACTTGCAGTTGAATTGAATTTGAGGGAGGGAGGGCTGTGCAAAGTCGCCATTACTTTCTCCTCCCACAAGAACTTCTAAGACTGGAACAAAGAAGAAGATAATGGGGGTGGGGGATGGGATGCTGAGGTGATTTGAAATACATAATTTAAAAGAAACATAATCATCCATTTTTTTCAGTGAAATTTAAGGTGGGATCTTCGGTTGAGAGAAATTAGGGAAGATGGTGATTTAGATGGTTTGAAAAGGGAAGACTTGGAATAGCTGCTGTGAGGAGAGTAGATCAGGAAAGAGCAATTCGTAAGAGGAGCTAATCAAAGGAACAAGCTGTCCCAGAGAAACTAGCAGGGAATGGAATCAAGAAATGGTTGTATAATTTCCTCAAGCAGAGTAACATCCAACAGCATGTAAACAAGAGTGGTTGAGATCAATGGTACGAGTAATCTGAAACTGGGGGAGTGAAAAAAATGAGTAGCAGTAGGACCAATGTGCCCGGGATTCAAGAATTTAAAACAGGATAAATTTGAATTGCTACACTTCTGCTACAACCTCAGAACAGGGGCGTCTGCCATCCAATCAAAGAATACACCAGTCATGGGTGTTTGGGGAGTAGCATCAGTGCCCCACTCTTTAGGAGTCACACTAATTTCATCATGGAATGAAGATAGTGGTGGGTTCTTAAAAGCTGTGCTAGCTAAGCATAAGCTCTGGATGTTCTCACTAATCTAGAATAGCTTCAAGAAAAGATTTGGTAGACTATCTATTGCCCAAGGACCAACCTAAATTCAAAATCATGATCAAGATGGCCACAGAATGATGATTTTTTTTCTTTTGACCAAAGCAATTCATAAAAAAAAAAATCTTAATGAATGGGAGCAGGAATCAAGGGTGAGAAAGAGTAACAAAGAATCAATCAACTGATCGATTATTTATTAAGTGCTTAATATGTGGCTACTGTGTGAAGAAGAAGGCTGCACCCTATGTCTATAGAATGCCCATAGTGAGAGTATTGGATTGTCATCAGGAAGATCCTATTTCAAATCCTACCTCAGATACCCAAGTTTGTTCCCATGGGAAAGTCACTTAATCTCTTTTTTTAACTCAGTTTCCTCATCTATAGAGTGGGGGTAGTAATGGTCCCTACATCCTAAGACTTTTTTAAGGATAAAATTTTATAGTTAAAGCA